CAAAATGTTCAGCAACAAAAGGTCTCCATTTACTGAGACCAAGGGATGGTAGATTGACAAAATATTCAAAAATATAGAGGGTTGCATAAGATGCACATCTATTATGGAGACAGTTCTAATCTCACCTTCTGCTAGAAATGGGAGCACAGAGTGCTGATATGCCGATGCATGGGAGGACAAACGTCGGAAGCTTCGACGCATAGTACGGGCAGACTTCGCCGCCATTAGTTCAGAGTGGAGAGGGTGAACGACCTCACTAAGGATACGATCAGCAAATTGCTTGAACGTTTCAAAGTCTCGCTGTATTATAATATCAGATAAAAAGCGTAAGAAACACCGACAGTTGAAGAGAGCTTTCGGAGGGTATGATTAAAAATCAAAAGTTCTTTTTTAAACAAGGCCGGAAGTATAAACTGATAGCAGTCGAGAACGAGTAGGAGGAGGAGAAGAAGAATGCAATCATCTATAAATCATCAGATTATATGTTGGTGTGCGTGTATGTGATATTAACGGCACCGACGGATCTAATATAGAAGTAAACGAGTTTTAATGAAAGGGCTTTCAATATGAAAGCTTAAATGTCAGAGTAAACCCAAACTACCGGCAGGACATCTGAGGATTCGAGACTGAGAGAGGGTCGTAAACGCACTTGATTGAATTCTGGCTATTCACAAGAAGACCATTGGCTAACTACCATGCTGAGATGTGCTCCAAGCCAGCTCTCAGAACCTGGATTTGTGTCATTAGGAGTGTGGATAAAATTTTATTTTAAAAAAGTGTAAATCAGCATCAGAATAGGCCACTGTACTGCGTTGACAAGTGAGACAGTTAAGACGCTTAAGAGATCTTATAGCAACCAAAAACAACAGCCAATGACCTACACTTATCTGTAAACACGTCTAAGGTAGCATTTTTCTCCTATAGGGTCTTCGAGGACCTCAAGGTTCGCGCGGTCCGCCCGGGTCTCCCGGAGTGAAGCGCGTAGCTAAGGAAGTCACCGGTGGTGTGGGTGTACGTGGAATGAGAGGGCCCACAGGAAAGACCGGAGCTCCTGGTCAAATGGGACCGAAGGGTG